AAATCTTACTTAAGTTGGTGGCAGGGCAGAAATCTGATGTCCGTTTGTGGCCAGGTAGAAATCCAACATCAGTTGGTGGTAGGGTAGAAATTCGACATTAGTTGGTAGCTGGGTAGAGATCTTGTGATTTTCGAGGAGGAGTTTGGTGGCAAGAGAACACTCCTCATACCTTGTTCTTCTTTCTGACCCCCCCCCCCCCCTCCGATGAGGAATGAGGAGTCTATTTTAATTTTAAGAGTGGTATGGCCAGTAAATAAGAGGATGGTGAAGTGTAAATTAGGAGTGGTTTAAATGGAAGACCGATGTTGAATCCCATGATTATGGATCATTTATTGGGCATTTTTTTTCTTAATGATATCAAAAATTAGGGATCTTAGCCTCGTTGGATTCATCTCGTCGAGCCGCTCAATTTGACTACAACATCTCATGTTTGAACATCATTTAATAATAAAAATTATGGTTTAAACCTTTCAAATGTTCTTTGGGTCTTTGATTTGGACCAATTTGAGCTCGAATTTGGTTAAATTTGGTGTCTTTGGGCCTGTATTTTTGAGATGTCAAGTTCGTCTATAAGTTTGCTGAAATTGGAGTTGAGATGGTCCTAGATTAAATTTTTGAACGTTCCAACTTAATTTTACTTTGAGATTTGTGCCCTATCAAAATAATTTTTTGATGATATATTAGTTCTCTCCCTATTTATGGACGTCAAAGCTCCAAAAGTCCAAAATTTTGCATTAGGCAAACTTTTTTGTGCAATTTAAAACTAAAAAATAATTTTGATCTTGGGTGTAGTGGTCTTTATTAGATTTAGAAGTGCCAAAAAAATGAGTACATAACATCAAAAAATGGTTCTATGAACCCCAAAAATGTTTGATTCTGACTGTATGGGCCAAAAATTGGGGCTCGTATATGTTTAGCTGACCGTATCGGCAGGCCACTCATTGGCTACCATTCAGCATCAGAATGGATGAAGAGGCGCACCCCTGAGGGATGCATGATTTTGCTGTAAATAGTTGATATTTTTTAATTTAACTGGCATGTAAGGAGGCTGCTCTAGCCACCTGTAAGAGGGGTGTTTAATATAACCGCATCTCTCAATTTTTTTTAAAGGAGAGAGAACTTTCTTTGGAAGGAATTATGAAAATTCCATTTAGGGGCCCAAAAATTTTCTTGAAAATTCTAGAATAATTTTGAAAGAATTTTAATGGATTTTGAGGAAAATCCCTCCCCTATCAAACTTCAATTCCCCTCTTTTGCATATAAGGAGCTTTCTCCTCCTTTCATTTTTTTCTCATATATTCTTTTTAAATTAGTGGGGTATTCCACTATTCTATAATAGGTGGTATCTTCTAACAAGCTTTAGTGCCCCTCTTTTGTTTAGGAGTCATGATAAGAATTTATTATGATGATAGACAACTCCGTTAGAAAAAGATTAACATCCTCTTACAAGCAAGGGTGATTTGAGAAAATATGATAGTAATTGTACTAGAGAGGAGAACTAGTGATTGTCAGTAGATGGACATAATTATTTGTGATATTTTAGGAGAAGTCCAATGATGATCGATGATTAGGTTGAAGTCCGATGCAGATTAATGGTCTAGTGGAAAATTAAAGGAGATAGTTAGAGGTTGTGCTGATAATAATAATCGAGTGAGAAGTCAATAATGGCATATATGAAGTGAAGGATCGTTAATGGACATCAGGAAAAGGCTAATGGTTATGTTGGTCTAGTTGCATTCTGTTAAGGCAATATATATCCATATTGACATATGGAGATGTCATATATCCCTGATTGAAGGGATCGAAGCAGTGTGCCATGTATGTAGTCAGGAGACACACTAACAGTGTCTATTGAGTGGAGGTATTATGATGATCTGATTATAATCTTTCATTAAAGAAGTTGTAGCATCTTTGTAGATGCTTCAATGTGCTGTATATAAGTGGTCAATAGAATCCACCAATGATATTTGACTTTTTTTATGTTTCTTGTTGCTTGATAACATTAACTTGCATAGATAATTTTGCTGTAACTTTAATTTCAGCCTCTTGCCAAAATAAATGTATACTTGAACCTGATGTGGAATCTAGGTAACTCCAATGATATTGCATATGCAGTTGAGATTATTGTATGAGTTCAATGTTTGTTTTTCATTTAAAATGAACTTATCCCTTAGAGGAAACTAAATCATTTATTCAATTTTAAGATGTTCTTTGATATATTACCTTTTGAGCTTTTTGAGTCTTTTTAGCATGTTAAGATCTTCATATGAGTGATGACATTATAAATCATTTTTTTTCATAGAATTTTTATAGAGAGAATGTTGTCCAGTCAGAGCATTGTTCGATGATGTTGACCTATATATAATAGGTTGAGAGAATCTACCAAGGATGTATGATCTATCCAAGATTTTTTATCAAAGCATTGCTCGATGAAATTAACCTATATGAAGGAGGTCGAGAAAATTCACCAATGATGTATAACCTATTCGAGATTGTATGTGAGAGCATTGGTCGATGAAGTTAAACTATATATAAGAGGTCGAGAGAATCCAATAAGGATGCATGACCTATCTGAGATTATATATTAGAGCACTGCTCGATGATGTTAACCTATATAGAAGAGGTCGAGAGAATTCACAAATGATGTATGACCTATCTAAGATTGTATGTCAGAGCACTATTTGATGATGTTAACTTATATAGAATAGGTCAAGAGAATTCACCAAGGATGTATGACCTATTCGAGGTTATATATCATAGCACTACTCGATAATATTAACCTATATAGAAAAGGTCAAATCGAATCCATCATGATCGATTTTACCTTGATTGAGAGGGAGAGAATGCCATGTGTATCCTGAATTAAAGGTGAAGAATGATCTATCTTTAGACAGTTACTATCTTTTTGAGATCGAGATTAAGACCTTGTCCAAGGAGTAAAAGTCTGGTTAGGGATTGTATAAAGCTTGAAATTTATTGGTAGTTGCATTTTCTTGAAGCATTATGATCCCATGATATCGTCTTGGATATTGAAAGAGTTGGAGTAATCTTCTTGATCACGGCTATAGTCAAGGTTTCCCCCAAGTCCACATTTAATTCTCATGAAATTATGCAACAATAGCTGACGTCAGAATGTTGAAAATAATGACCTTTTGAGGCTGGAGTAAAACTTGCCCCCCTGTTGGGAACTATGTTTCATAAACAGTGCTAAAATGTTACATCGTGGAATATTTGTTGCGATAGAGAAAAATATAGTTTAATGTCTTAGCTTTCTATGAAGATTCAATAGATGATCAAACAAAATATATAGTGCAAAATTTATAAGAGACACAAAGATTTTTACATGGAAAATCCTAAATAGGGGAAAGATCATAGGGGCTGACCTGGTTTGAATGAATCCACTAGTATTTGTAGTTGATTACAAATGAGACCTTTCCTTGGGGGGGAAGGCCTTGGCTTGATGTAACAAAAAAACATCATATGTAATGCATTACATGGTGGGAATAGGAAGAATTACTATTAATGTGGTTGTTTGGACGGAAAGACCATACTCGGTGGGCGACGGAGGTCGGAAAGACTGTAGTATGACGATGAAGGTCAGAAAGATTGTAGTAGGCTGGCGACGAAGGTCTAAAGGATCGTAGTTAGTGGACGACGAAGGTCAGAATGATCATTGTTTGGAGATGGAGGTAAGAACGATCATTGTTTGGTGAAAGAGGTCGAAAGGAAAGTAGTCGGATGGTGATGGAGGTCGGAAAGACCATTGTCTGGCTATAGAGGTCAGAAGGACCATAGTCAGCAAAAAACGAAGGTCGGAAGGATCATTGCTGGCGGGTGATATATGTCAAAACGATCATAGTTGGCTGGTGACGGAGGTTATAAAGATTGTAGTCGGCAGGTGACAGAGGTCGGCATGACCGTTGCTGGGTGGAAGTAAAAGAATAATTGGAAGCCAGGTGGAAGCTTGGAGTCAGTCGGTGGCCGAGTGTAAGTCTAGTGTCAATCGGTGAATGGGTAAAAGTCTGACAATAATTGGTGGTCGGTCAAAAATTTGACGTCAATCAATTGTCGCACGAAAATCTAGGGTCAGTTGGATGTCGGACAGAAATTCTACATCAGTTGGTGTCATGGCTGAAATCTAGCGTCAGTTGGTGGCCGGGCATAAATCCGGCGTCAGTTGGTGGCTGGGCAGAAATCTGGCCTCAGTAGGTGGCTAGGTAGAAATCCGGCGTCAGTTGTTGGTTGGGAAAAAATCTTCTGTCAATTGGTGCCAAGGTAGAAATTCAGCTTCAGTTGATGGTAGGGCAGAAATCCAGTGGCGGTCGAGGAGGAGACTAGTTGCACAAGAGCTCTTCCTTCTTTTCATTTTCTTCCTTCTCTTCTTGATTGGCCCCCCTTCCATGCGAAATGAGGAGTATATTTATAATTTTATGAGAGTGGCATGACTTGTAAATAATAGGAAGATAAAGGGTAAATTGGGAGTGGTTTGAATGAATGGCGGATGTTGAATCTCTTGATCATAGACCGTTTACTATGCATTTAAATGTCTTAATGATATCAGAAATTGGCAATCTTGGTCTCATTGGATTCGTCTCGTCGAGCCGCTCGATTCAATTATAAGCATGTCACATTTGAAAACCGTTTGATAAACCAAATTATGGCTTAAACCTTTCAAATGTGCTTGGGGTCTCTTATTAGGACCCATTTAAGCTCGAATTGGTTCGAATTTTGTGTCGTTGGGCTTGTATTTCCGAGACATTCAGCTCGACTATTAATTTGCTGGAATAGGAGTTGAGATGGTCCCCAATTAAGTTTTTGAAGTTTCCATCTTGATTTTGCTTCGAGATTCCTGCCCGGGCAAGATAATTTTTTGATGATATATCAATTATAAATTTGTGAAAATTGAGGGTTATATAGCCTCTCTAACAAATTTTGAAATGTTTTAGATTTAATTTTGGCTTTATTTTTGTTCCAATATTTGTGCATAAATATGTGCCAAATCAAAACAACTGTTGGTAGTATCTCTTTTATTTCTAAGTTCACTGAACAATATTTTGCTGTACGCTACAGAATCAGTTAAACTGGTATGATTCCATCTGACATCTTCATAATCTACAGCCATCTTTAAAAATCGTCAATGGCTACATAGAACTAGGATCAAAATAGCTTGCATGAAACATTTCACTAAATGTTGGAATTCAGAATTAATCCCTTGCAAAGACAACTTAAATTCTTGGCGACTGCTGCTCATGACTTGGCGTGAAATGGTTTATATTTACCAAGTGATATGATGACCCCTTCAACAGAACCAATCGCAGCTGCTATAGATACAAGCAAGCAGAGAAAACTCAAAATCTGTAACATTACTCCCTTGGGGCTTAGCATTGCAATCTTCGCCTGTCGCAAGTACATTTCAATGGGAAAATAAACAGTCAAGGGCCAAAAGCCAACAGCTCCCAGAAATCCCATTATATCGTTGAAGAAGGGCATGAGGATTGCAAGAACCGTGCTTATCACAACAAATGCAGTTCTCCAGATTAATCTGAACAAGTTGATTTTTATTGGAAAACTTCTCCAGCTTATAACAGTCACCTCCTTGGTCAATATCTTCCAGTTTGGCCACTTTTGGTTGACAAGGTCTTCTACAATGGCAAACACAGGTTGGCTGAATACCTATTAAGATGATCATAAGTTAAATCCGAGATTAAACTCAAGTTCAGATCAAAATATAGGACCTTTTGTGTTATGCTGAAATAACAAACCTGATATGCACCTAGCAGATGAACCACTACACATATATTTGCAATATCAATCAACCAAAAAGGCTCAAAGAATCCAAACCCAGTAAGCATGTTTCCTGGAGCCTTGTTGCCAAAGGCTGCATATCCAAGGCAACCACATAGCATGTAGAACAAGGTGGTTGTCGATACACCTATGAGGCTTGCTTTCTTCATTACTTTGTTCTCAGGTGGCGTCGATTTTAGTGTATCCTGAATCATTCACATAAATATAATAATGCAATTACATATGCATCAGAATGTACGTGATATTATACTTTTAAGCTAACCTGAATTTCTATCAACACCATAGAGTAGGAGTAAGCGAATGCGATATCTCCAAGAGCTTGGAAGGCATTCCAAATCTTCTGCGACGATGTCACGTCGACGCCAACCACCGTTCCAGTTACAGTAGTGATGATTCCACTTTTTCCTGCTCCAAGAACAAATTTAAATTAAACTGACTGAAGAAATGAACTCTAAATATAATCCTGCTTACGAGAGATTGATTGGGCAAGCGCAAGGCCAACACCGATAAGCGAATATGTGAAGGACATGACAGCTGCCAGAATGGACAACCACCAAAGGTTGTGGAAGTCTGGAAGCTGAGAGAAGAAAACTTGAACTACACCGAAGGCAATCATGTACATGCTATATGACATGCTGCAATCTGCTTCATGACCATGCTTGTGGAAGCAATAAGACTTGCTAATAGCCCTACAATCAGTACATTACCAACAGTTTGATTAGGTCATCGATCTGCATATTGATAATACATGTTTGTGATTGCAAAATTTACGCAGCGCTAATGGAGGCAGTGATTGTGTAGCCAACGGCAGTTCCACAGAGATTGACATACTGACATAACCCGCACATCCATATTTGTGTTTTACCTGCATTAACTAGCTTACATATCGCATTCTTATAATGTCTTTGAACAAAATGTAATTGCAAATTATGAGGAAAATAGACCAATATTTGATTTGACGGCGCTCATATATGTTGGGTTCCGTTTGCCATTGATGGGGTCGGAGTTGCGGTAGCAATCGGCGAGGAGTCTAGATGTGTAGAGGGTTATTAGGGAGAAGAGGATTAGGGTAATGGGCCCGATGATCCAACCTAGTTGGGCCATGGACCATGCAAGTGATAGCACTCCGGAGCCGATCACTGCTGTTATGATATGCGCGCTCGCTGTCCATACTGTGCCTGAAAAAAAACATGCAAAGATGTGATTTCTTAGACACGTTCATAAAACAGTTGTTTTTATGTCATTATTCAGATCTAAGGATTAGTTTAAGCAATTAACATCATTCAATACATTCAGGTTCGTTTAGAGCAGCTGTAATTTTTGTAAAATTTATTATAAAGCAGTCATTGATCGAACAATATATTTTTAAAACAGTAATGTATAATATATATATATATATATATATATATAAGAAAGTCAAACATTAAATTTTTTTGTATTCACATTATTTAACAAATCTAATCATAAAAATTAATTTTTAGCACAATTTTTTATAAAATAAAAAACTTAATTAAAATAGAAATGATATGTACAAAAAATTCAGCTTAACAAGCATCAATTTGAATGCATATTTGAATTGGAAAATTTCAAAATTAAATTTGGAATTTAGGCTCATTCGAACTTTAATTTGAACAAATTTATAATACAACTGAATGTCTCAACAAGACAAACCCAACGACACCAAAATTAACCTACTGCGACACCAAATGGGCACAAATCAAAGATCTAAAACAAAGTTGAAAACTTAAAGGCATTAGTTGGAAGACCGAATGATTTGTAAATATGGCATGTTTATAGTCAAACCGAGTGGCAATATGAGACGAATCTAATTAGCATAATAATACATAATTTCAACATCATTAAGGCACATAAATGCTAAACAAATGCTCTATGATCAAGGAGATAAATACATGTTTTCGAATTGAGTACTCCATATTTGCTTTAGATCTTCACTATATTTACGAGGTATGTCACTTCCAAGAATCTATAAATAAGCCCCTGCTCTCTATATGTGAGGGGAGGCTTGGACCTTTGGCTAAGAGAGGCCTAGGTAAGAGAGCTCTAGGTCATGAAGAATCCTAGAGCTCCATGTGTGCACTACTGCCAGCAAATTATCATCACTCGCCTATTGCTGCACCTCCTCTTAGCCCCCATCTTCAAACTACGATCCCACCAAACTTTATAACCCGACTATGATCCTTCTACAAAATTCACCTGACTATGGTCTGTTCGTCCTCTGCTCGCTACTATCCCTTCAACCATAATTATCCAGCCACAGTTTCTCTGACCACCATCACTTGACTATGTTCCCTCCAATTACGATCGGCCGACTATAGTCCCTCCTACCCCATTCACTTAACTTGATTATTCAACCTCTTTCGCAAGACTAGTGTACTTCTGACTAAAACTACCCAGCTATGATCTCTCTAACCTCCGTCACTCGATTATGACCCCTTTGACCTCTGCCTCCTGACTATGATCGACTAACTATATTCATTCTGATCTTCGTTGCCCGCTGACTATTATATATCCATTTGAGCTCCGTCGCTCGACTATGGTGCTTCCGACCTCTATAGCTTGATTTTAGTCTTTCTAGCCATTGTTGCCCGACTATGATCCATTCAATCATAGTCACCGTACTAAGATTCTTTGGCCACTGTCACCCGGCTATTGCCTTGTAGACCAATTAAACAGGCCAATGATCTCTTATGAACATCTCTTATGACTTTGGATTCCTTCAACTCTGATCATGTAATGTGCTATGTACAATATATATTTGCTACATCATGCAAAGACCTTGCCTCGATGAAGGGCATCAGTTATAATCAATGAAAAACAATGGTAAAATCATTTCAACTGGGCTAGACCTCGTGATTTTTCCTTTTAATCAATTTATATGTGCTGGATCTTCATAAAAATTAGGACATTAAACTCTATATTGCATTGTTGCAAATGTTCTGACACATAATAAAAATATAATTTGAAAAGTAAAATAATGAGAAACTTGCCTCAAGTAAACTCTCTTAATTAAGAGACTTAAAAATAGATTTGTGAAATTATCATTTAGAAATTATTTCCAACTTTTATCATTCATGAGAAATCATGCATAACAGGAAAAATAATTTATAAGATTATCATAAAATGTTATTAGATAATGCTACACTTCACTTTTTTATTCAATTTTATTAGTATTTTTTAATGATCTTGGACAGCGAGGGCTATATATCTTTTTTATTAAGGCTACGTTTAAGATCATTGTTTAATTATTTTTTAAAGTAAATTTTTAGTAAAAAATTATTAAAACAGAAAAAATTAATAGCCAAAAGCGCTGTCCTAAATTAAAATGTAAATTATCAGGCACGTGCTATTATTAAAGCAATAAAATAAAATAAAATTCGCTGTTGACTGGTTGCTTGCGTATTCAACCCAACCAAATAACTTTTGACATTATTCCCATAAAATATTCACTTTTTCTTAAGAAAACAAGGCGAAAGAAGAAAAAGACTCTTTAAATCGCCTTTGAATTCAACCCGGAATGCCGAGACACTCTTCAATGCATATTTGGCTATTGACCATGTTTTGCTTTTCTAAAAAAATATCTTATTTTTTCTTCCCTCATCTATTCAAATGTTATAAATAATTTATCAGAAATAATTAGTTATAAATTATAAATTTATGTAATCTTTATAAATATAATTAATATCAAAGATAAAATTATTTCATCAATAAACTCAAAAAAAAAAGTGAAAAATAATTGTTTAAACCTTAGCGTATTTTATTTTATTAAAATAAAAGAAATTTGTAGATAAAAATAAGTAAATTTTTATTTTATTTTTAAGATAACACTCTAAATTATATTTTAAGTTCGAATTCCGAAAATCTAACTCCCTCACTATAACATTACATATAATTGAGAGAATTTTTTTGTCGATTTTATCCGAACGGCCAAAATTCAGATAAGATAACACTGCTCGAGAAGATATTAGATTGATATTCCGAAGCGCAATAAATAAAATTAATAAAGATAAGAAGTATATATTCGATATACTGTGAGGCCACCAAAGATAAATACAAATGATAAATTATTTAAAAAATATTCATTCCAACGAACAAAAAATAATTCGTGTATTTTCCGTGATTACCCTGAAATATTTCTTGTTCAACAAAGCATTTTTGTTTATAAAAAAATTTGACGAACAGATTATTTAGACGGTCTTTATCGACTAGTAAATTCAAGAATAATCCCGGTTGACCGACAGAAATATTAATCGGGTAATAATTATTTATTGGTTTGAACTCTGAAGTGGTGGAGAAGAACAGCATTAATAAGCCCAAAAAACATAAAAGCAAAACGGTGTTAAGCAAAAAGAACTACATCTCCGCGTTGGCTACAACCAGAGGAAGAAGGAAGAAAAAATAAATAAAGAACAAAAATATAATTTTACCCTCTTAAAGAAAAAGAAGAGAGGGAGAAGAAGAGGAGGGAGGAACCTGTCCTTCTCGGCCGGCCATCATCGTCTTGCTCTTGGTTCGCGTTGGGTACTTGCCTGCTCATTTCTTCGATCATTTTCCCTGCTCCTGTTTCCAGTTTCTTACTCACCTCTAAAGTGCTTTCCTTTTTTCTTTGGTAGGAGTATAGAATGGAGGTTTTCGGTCAGAGCTTCGTTAAATATATACGCTACACTTGGTTTTGTGGTCAAAAGTGGGATATGATACTTCAATATTCCTTTGGGAAGTTTGAACGTAATTAATTCCCCTCATCAAATTGGATTAGATGATTAAATTTTGTTATTTAGTGTGTTGGTTTTAAATTTATTTATGCGTGACATTAGAATTTCAGTGCTAAAGGAAATCCAACTTAGAAGATTAAAAGAGAGAAAGGGAGTGAAAATGAGTGTGAGAGAGCAATAATGTTGAGGAACTCTGAGATTTTACTATATGTTAGAAAATACAAATAATTTTATAGATATCAGGCTCACCTCATCTATTTATAGACTTCGGCTGAGACACTACATTATAGACTAGTCTATTTCATCTTTCGTCAAGGTCTATAGTAGTAGTGGTAGGTCACTCGCAACAACAACGACAAAGATGGGAAATAAAAGAAGAAAAAGCTACTAGCTCTAGGACAATGACCTTGGGGCCGTTGGGGCAGCTTGTCCTCTCTTGTAAGGTGGCATTTTTTATTCGTTCATGGTCGTCATTTCTCTGAATCCTTCTTTTTCTAAAGACTTTTGTCCTACGAACTCTCTATAGCTGTCAAGTTAGCAGGCCATTGCTAGTTCTACTACTTTTAGGCTTTCATCCTGGGGAGGCAATCTCCAACTGCGATTCAATAAATACAATAATACTCAATGATTACCCTTTATGTATCAATGACTCACAAATGAATACTTAATGACTTGTTGATAATTTCTTAGTGACATGCCGATAGCTCCAAAGACATCTCACATAAAAATCTACATAACTTGTCAACTTCTACCCAATGGCATACACCCAACAACTTTATGCCAACAAGTTCAATACTTGAGCACATGTTGTCTTCTCAATCTTGTTTACTATATTTAAGGTCACCGAGTGCGTCATTTCCAATGGTTATAGTCCGATTGAGCAATATCTTTCTTATCATATATCCCATCTTATTGAACAACAGAAAAAAAGACTACATATGACTTATTATAACCTCTTAATCTTATATCAGATTTAACAACTTAAGCATTATATTCCACCACATGGGTGAGTGTGATCCATGTTGAATAAAATATTCATGGCGGATCAATTTTAGATTGATATCTTTTTTGTCATGTAGATGATACTAATCATTTTATCTTTGGTTAACTGACCTTGTTCACCCATTTGTGTAAGGCCACAAGCTTCGCTAGATTCTATCATTATTTTAACGAGTTGCCATAACCAATCACCAGTTATTAGATTGGCAACATAATAGGTGGATGCAAAATCCCATACTTTCAAATGTTTATTTCTATTCTCTAGTTTTGCATAAAGTTTAATCGAGATAAACAAAAACTATATTAAAAAAAAGATACATGTAAAAAAAAATGACGATGAAAAAAAACGTTTCCCCAATTTCGATATGAGTGAATCTATCTTCTTGGCCAAGAACTTGTGCTCTATTTATATAATCATACTTGCCTACATGATATCTTATTATTACCTAAAGAAATGTTCACCTCATGCATAATGTATTTGTCCTCAATAAGGATCTAACCATCAAAATTTGATTTGAAGTTGTGTTTTAAACTCCATGGTTATTCCCATCGATCATTATTTGACATACTTATAATAGAGAACAAGAATATTGTTTATCCTTTAACATCACATGTGATGAGTTTGACATAAATTTGTATAAATCTTCTTTTATGTGGCCATTGTGGCTTCGCATATTTTCTATATTTTGATATCTATCACGTTAGTGTCTTATGGACTCCCTTATCTTTAGAAGTATGTGGTTGCAATTAGCTTTCTTAGGTGAAGCTATTTTTAACATATCAAAGAGAAGCAAAAAATGTATAGGAAGAATAAGGAGTAGTAGATCACTTTGGCTAGCTATAAATTGCATCAGGTTAAAAATTATCTTTTTGCTTAATGGATATTGTGGTAAAATTGAGATGATATACTTTAATATGGTTTTGAAAATTTTGAATATAATTAATTTCACTAATTAAAGTGAATTAAATAATTAATTTTAGTAATTTAATTTAATATATTTAATTAATTTTTGAATGTCATCAAAGTTTTACCAAAAAGAAAAAAAAATAAACTTGAGAAAAAAATATGAGACCAATATACAAAATTTAGGAGAGTCTATAAGATTTTAATAATTGCTATAAAGTGTATGAATGTTTCAAATACTTTGTTAAGTGTTTGGCTCACCCTTTGGTCCCCGATATATATGCTTGGGTTAGGAAAACCATTACATGTTATATTTCATCATTATCAAGGTTGGTTGTTATTGAGGAAAGAGGTTAGTTGTAGTGATAATAATGGAGATGAGCGAGATCAAGAGAAGGAACCAATTTAATTTATTATTGGTTATATGCAACAATCAATACTTGGGTTCATACGTAGTTGTTGACCATATTTTTGAATTGGATTAACTCTCTTATGAGAGTAGGCCATTTTGTATAAGTCTTATTATATGTCTATACCCAACATAAGGAGCCTAAATCCAAGTCTTCCTATAAGAACATTAGGGTTTCTAGGAATAGCTAACCATATTTTGACCCAAATGGGTGTCCAATGAATTTAAGAAATCCCCCTAAACCTAATGACAACCACCCTAAAATAATTTTAGGTTATTTGGAATGTAGGTATGATTACAAGGTAAAAGAAAGCTTTCAAACCAAAATTATTAGATATGAATGTTGCAACCCATGACCCTGAGTTTGAGATTTTGATGATGCCAAATAATGAGTGTTTTGGAACAGCTTTTCATTGAATATTATTTTATTTGTTATTTTTCTTGAGCACTAATATTTCAGGAAGATCACAAGTGACTCAGGAAGAAAGGAAGACTCAAGACTGGGTAGATTAGGAGTATGAGTCAAACATTATATTTTCCATTTATTGTATTTTTTACTTTATTGAGTCTGGCCACAAAATGCGTAAGAGTAAGAGCAACCATGCACACACACAGGGGAAGATTTTTTTTTAACCGTAAAATGTAATTGAAATTCTTCTCTGGAGATCGTACTGTACGATTTTATTTCGTACCGTACGATCCAAGCTATGTGGACAATTCTGTGAATAGATCGTACTGTACGAATTATTTCGTATTGTACGATATGTTCAGATCCAAAACCTTAGCCGTGATTTAATTTAAGTAAGTGATTTTACGCCGCTCGTACTGTACGAACAGGTTTGTACTGTACGATTCATTTTTAATACTTACTTAAATTAACCCGTGATTAGTGCATGTAATCCAGGCATAACTAAAATTTGAACATCGTACTGTACGAACGCGATCGTACCATACGATGAACAGAGATTAATTATGATCGTCCCGGATATCGTCCTGGACGATCTCTTTGTTTTGTCACATCAGTACTGTACGGATAATAATCGTTACCATACGATGAACAGAGACGACATCCGATCGTTCCAGACCCAATCGTCCTGTACGAATGTAATCTTGTTGGATGTACGTACGTACTATATCGTATCGTACGAATTGTTTTTTGAACTGTTCGTACATGCTTCGATACCTCAGGACGAACGTTCTGATATTATGAAGATTCGTACGGTAGATCATGTAATCGTACTGTACGAACAGTAACGGCTACTTTTTGAATTTCAGAGGTTTTTGTGAGCTTTTTTTAGATATCAATTCAAGTTCTTTTCGGAGAGTTTTTACAGAGGGGGTAACAATGATTAGATAGGGATTCAAGGGAGAGAGGCTCTAGAGAAATTCTGAGCGGTTTGAGAGAGGAAGGAGGAGCGTGAGCGTTGTGAGGGAGAAGAGGTGTGAGGGAGATCACCACGGTTGCTCCAAGGCTTGCTGCAATCTTGCTCCTCCTGTGCCCTAGAAGGATGAGGGAGGATCTACTAAGGGAAAGCTGGCGTCTACATCCTTACCTCGAGGTTCTCTGCCTTCTCCAGGAGTGGAGAAAAATGGAAGGTTCTCTGCCGTCGCCAGGAGGGCGAAGAACAAGTTTGAGTAGCTCCCGCACGCGCGCGGTTGGTGTAAAGGGAGGTTTGTACAAGCTTCTCCCCTTGCGAGAGGGGAAAAAGGAGAAAACTTTTTGAATGTGTAAAATCCCGAAGTGGAGTAATCGGGGGAGTGGACGTAGGTCATATTTGACCTCAACCTATAAAGCTTCTTGGCTGTGTTTCTTTCCTTTATCACTGTTTACTTTTTGCTTGCATTTAAATTGTATACTATTGGCATGTGAAATTTTGTGAAAGTAAAAATTGCATAAATTTGTTTGTTCTTCTAAAATTTCAAAACAACAAAAAAATTAGAACTCTTATTTAGGGCTTAATTTTATTAAGAAAAAGACTTTTTCACATTCACCCCCTCTTGTCATTCAGTAACCTTCAATGTATCAGAGCTAGTTTTTCAAAAATAGTGTTTAGAAAACCTTTGAAAAAACGATTCATTCGAATTTTGGTAATCGGTAACACTGCCGGAGGGTTATTCAATAACTCGTCCACCACTTTTGATAATCATACGTTATGATTTATTGGAAAATTAGACATGTCTTACATTTTTTATAATATATATTGATACTGCATGTGGATGTTAGTAAAAGATGGGTATGTTGCACCGTTTAAAACTGTAATTGGTTTGAAAACTCCTGTACCGTTTTAATGAATGGAGCAATGAGGATAGGGGAGTTAGCCCAACGAATGCCAAGTCTTAAACTGCTTTTTTGTGCATTGAAATTATGAGGGCTATATGAGAGTGTCTACTTGTGTTTCTGGTAAGGAGATTTGGATAGACTGGGATTACATACAAGTACAAATGAAGTAAAAACAGTCGTAGGTTAACATCTACTGCATGATTATGAATTATTCCGTATGAACCTAGCGAAATAATTTTTCTGACTATGTACACTAGGTTCACACCAAATCGTGACATTCCTTGCATTGCATTAGTAGAGAAATTTTCAAATATCTGAGAAAAGTGAATAAATTCTTTAGATTCCTACTAGTTCCTATGATGCTAAGATAACTGCTATCAAACTGGTCCAAAGATCTTAATATTTATTCTATGAATAACCTTCCTCGGGTCACTCATTGCATAC